ACCACCCTGAAATTTCTGGAAAATGTGCAAACAAAATCATAAAATTTTCAGTATCAATAATCAGTACCCAAATGTAGCAACTAATTTGGGACAGAGGGAGTATATGATTCATTGTGATTAATATCATACATGTTATTATTATATGCTGTAGGTGATATTGAAATGCTTGGTATTATTTCGAATATCAATAGTGTTACGTTTTCTCTTCAGAGCTCTAAATCTGCATTATTTAAAATTTTATTTTTTATATTTCCGAAAAATGTATTTATATTAATTAAAACACAGCAAAAATTTCAGTACCTAAAGCAAATTTCTTTTAGAAATACTTTTTCTCTTATGTATTAACAAATTTACTTTCATCATTTTTTAATTACATATTTAATAGTGGATCCAAATTATTTTGTTGCAAAGCACAACTGATATTAATACGATGAAAAATTTGCGCTGAAATAGTTTATGTTCTGAAGCTACCTGCTAACTTCATACTCTATAAATAATTTTAAGGTAAAACATGTGCTCTAAATGACACTTAAATTAGAATAGGTAACTCTAATAAGTACAATTAAAAATAGCGTATATCTAGATGAAAGAAGGAATTAAAATCAGAATCAAGCATCCGACGGTTATATGTGAAAAAGAAAAATGGGATAACTTGAAATTTCATGCTTCCTTTCTAAAGAAAAATATTTTTAATAAAAAGAAATGTATAATTTCTGACTACTACAGAATAATCGTTTTTAAATTTTGCATATAACAAGACAATTATTTGTCTCGGGTACATTCTGCTTCATTGTTAACGTCGCAAAGCGTAGCGGAATTGTAGCGCCCTCCTGCGGTCAGTAGAAATTAAACGGAGGCAACCGAAAACACAAAAGAATATTTTCACACTGGCAGGCCTTCCGTGTAAGTTGGCCTTGGCAGAACTTCCTCACGACACATATACGTTTTGTGATACGTTCACATTAAAATACGAATGCCCCAAACCTCGTATTTCCCAAAAAAGTATTATTAATATTAATTAAAAAAGGGAAAAAAAATCTTCAATACCTAAAACCAAAACTCTTTAAGAAATACTTTTTTCTCTTAGGTATTAACAAATTTTAAATCATCGTTTATTAATTTCTTAATTACATATTTAATAGTGGCTCCACATTGTTTTGTTGCACAGGACAACTGATATTTAATACAATGAAAATTTTGCGCTGAAATAATTTATGTTTTGAAGCTATCTGCTAACTTCTTACTATATAAATAATTTAAAACTAAAACATGTGCCCTAAATTATCCTTAAATTAGAATAGGTAACTCTAATAAGTACAATTAAAATTAGCGTATATCTAGATGAAAGCAGGAATTAAAATCAGAATCAAGTAGCTGACGGTTATATATGAAAAAAAGAAAATTGGGATAACTTGAAATTTCATGGTTTCTTTCTAAATAAGAATATTTTTATTAAAAACAAATGTAGAATTCCTCACTACTACAAATTAATTGTTTTTAAATTCACCGTGGCGTATAAGTTGGCTTTGTGGAAAGTTTTAAAATTTCTCTCACTAGTGGAGCCCTTAGCGCCATCTAGTGAGGTAACGGCACACTTTAAAATAAACATCTAATAAGTAGGTTTGTTTTCATGTTCCATTTCTTGTCAATAACATTTTATTTCATAATTTTTTCTGGGCTTCAAAATCAGCTATGTTATCGAAAGTTTTAAATAATCGTACAAGAAAAAACGCATTTTAATCTGTTCTCTGCAGTAGTTTCTCTAAGCGAAGAGAAGCACAAGCTCCGATCATTTGCTTCTCCCGAAAAGTTCCAGCAATCTTAAAGATTTTTTGTAGACATTCTGCAATTTAATTTTGCATGATATCTGATAATTTTTAACATTTCCAAGCGAATTTACATTGGGAAAACAATATTATACTCATAAAAAACGGCAACGGTATATAGATAACTGAAAGTGCTTGTATCTACCAGTACTGTAGTAAAATAAGTATTGAATAAAATATATACTAAAAGTACTGTTAAGGCAACGGTTTTAAATAATTCGTTACGTCTTGAAAATGAGGTAGACTCCTGCTATGCAGTGGATCCTCATGAGGATTGCAGGAAAGGGCTACAAGATAGAGTGAGACGTACGACAAACCCGCTGCATTTTTTACAATAGGGAACGTTGCCAATAGCTTTCCGCGTTGTCCAGATATGAGGAAAGGAGGCAGAAGGCTCAGCGACCAGGCCCAACACAATGTTTTAAATGCCAGCGTTACGGGCACACACAGGCCGCTTGTCACAACATTCCTAGATGTGTCAAATGCTTAGAAACTCATCACTCATTTGAATGTTCTATCAAGAACAAAAAAAGAAGTAACAGCACAATGTGTATTGTGCCTAGGATCGCATCCGGGTTTTCATCCGCAGAGAACCCGTTGGCGCCGTTGCATTCTTACTCGCCAAGCTCGCGGTTCATCGACGATGAGCCGAGCCGTAAACGTTATTTTTAGTGCATTCAAGTTAGCAGATAAAACAATATATTAAGCATATGGTAGTAAAAATTCACAGATAATATGCATGTAGATGTAAAACTAAACGGTTAAACGTGATATAGGAAAATAAATTTGTATTAAATTCAAGTTAGCACAGAAAGGAATATATTATTAAGCGTAATTCCAGTTAATACAGAAAACAATATATTCCTTCCTCAGCAGTGATTTGCTAATTTTGATGACCATGCTGATGCATCAAACTATTCTGTCATCTTAGATAATCAATAATATTTTTTTATTTCAATTTAATCATCTATTTATGTCACACCTGCCATCCTCTGAAAGGTTATTGTTAGAAAAGCATTAACAATATATTATCTTGTTAAAATTTTACGCCATAAAAATTGATTTATTCTCATAACTTTAGATGACAATAAACAATAATAAAAATAAAAGCATTACTTAATTATTTTAAATGCACATGCGCATTTTTGCGGTCTACGAAATCAAATTATTTTAGACTTTGGAAACCTCATAGTTCTTTGAGCTGTTAAAAAATAATAATAAATAAGACGAGAATAATATAAATCTGCAAATGCGAACAACGACAGTGTTAATTCAACAAAATACACGCAAGAGGAATGGTTGCAAACTTCGAACAAGCGAATAGGATAAGTCTGATGGGTTACAAGTTGACTATTATCGCCAAAGTTGGCGATGTTTACATTTACCGGGTTCTCTGCGGAAGTGCTTCCTCGCATCCCGCTAGCAGCTCCGAATGCCCAAAGAGACCGGGCAATAAAGATAATCATCAGAAGCTTTTCAAAAAACCACAAAGACCAGAAAAAACCGTAAAGTTAGAAGATGATTTCCCTGATCTCCCTAAGAAAAATCCTAAAAACGAAGAAACTCCTAATAACGAACATAAATCCCAACCTACAATAAGAAATTATTCAGCAGCTCTCAGAAATTTACCTGAAAAACAACCTACAGCAACGAAAATAATCTACTGAACTTTCGATTTTTAAAAATTAATTTTGCTAAAAGATCTCTACAGCGTAGCGAAAAGACAAATTGACTTCGCCTTGAAAGCATTAGAAGTCTTCATTTAATTTTTGGAACGCATGTGCATAGAGAAGAGCATCCGAGCGGGCTAAGTCCTGTCTCCGATACCACTTATGAAGATTGCGAGTTCGGGCCTTGGCCGTACTCGTTTTTTTAAAAAAATTAAATCAAGTTCTTTTAAATATTATTTCTCAATTCCACATATTTAATCAGGATTTTTAGTATTTTATTTTTCATGTTTATTTCATTTTTTATATTTTTACTCATGTATATGGAAGTCACCCCTGTACTTCAACTTGCAGCTGCCAAAGAAGATGCCATACATAATTCCTTATCTTGCTACAGATGTCATACGTCGTATTTCCGACTCAACATAGCAGTCTTCTTCGAAGTGATTGCAAGAAACTTGAAATGTATAGGTAAAAACCCACTGGGTTGAATACCTAACATAGCTTCTGGCTCTGGCTCGCGGCTCGATGCTACAGTGGAAAGATATTATTGGTTTAGAGTTTCAGTTCTACACTATAAGCAAGCTACTTTGGTGACATGAATACATATGTTATCTGGATATTGTTTCAATATTATACAGCAGACATTTGAAATAAACATGTCTTACCCAAGAAAAATGTTGTTAACCTGAGAAATTTGTTTTTATAAGATTTTAAAAGACTCAAGGGAAATTACGATTGAGGAATTAACAGAAAAACTGGCTCTGAAAATGAATCAGATGATACATTTCCAAGTACATTAACAGTTATTTCGTCAAATAACGAATCCGGAGCCGGGGGCGAGAAAAAAACACTCGAAGCCTTATTGCAAGATATTAAGTGGTAATGTTCTGGCTCAAGACGTAGTAGAATATATTCAAAATAAAATTAAGCAGAGAAGGAATTTATAATATTTTTAAAGAAGGATATCTCTCTACGCGAAATTGTTCGTATTTACGTTACTCATTTTCACTTTATAACTTCGTATCAATAGGCAGACAAAAATATTTGCTTTCGATTTTTATCGGTTCATGCACTATTTTATATTTTCGTTTTTGAATCGATTAGCTTGGCGATCTTCCAAATTTTCAAATCTGCATTTTGAAAATTTTTAAATTTGCCAAATAGCACTGTACCACCAAATCTCGTAATTTTTGCACTTTTTTTATACACCTAATTAGAAAATGTAAGCAGTAATTTTTAGCAGATTCCTCCTTTCAGAAAAATTGAGAGTTCAAGGTCCGAAGATCTTCCTTAAAACTTTAAATTTCAGCTGCTTATTTAACTGAATATGGCAAAGCACACAAGCGATGTCCGCATAAAAGAAGGTATGCATGCTTTCGTGGAGAATCTAAATTCGTATATACCTTTATACGTGTGGAAACCACGAAAACATCCATGCTAGCTCGGCGTTCAACACTCGGTCACTGATGGGTTTACAAGTTCATTTGGCAAATAATTTTAAACGTAATTTTGAATAGCAAATTTACCTCAGATTCTTCTTCACCAAAAGGTTTAGCTTCTGTAATGGATATGTTACGAACGCTAACTATTTCTTCCTCCATCTCTTCAGAACCAAATCGAACACCTCGTTCTTTGCTACGCTCGGAAACTTGGTTTTCACTTAACTCCCCGTTGCAAACTGACATTCTAAAACTCCTAGATATCTTGCACCTGTCAATAAAAAAAAAAATAGAAAGATTTAATGTTTCATTGAACAATTTTCAGGTTAGAATCAAAAGTTGGAACCACACTACATGAAAAATCAATTTACGAACAGCAAATAAAATTTGAGCAAGAATAATAATTTAAAAACTATCATACTGTTGCTTTGGGTTCGCTAGATCTCTTCAATAACTTCGGCCAATGAGCAGAAAGAAACTGACAATTTGTTGCAAAAAAAAAAAAAAAAAAAAAAAAAAAAAAAAAAAAAAAAAAAACAGCTGTGAATACAAGAGATTATGCCGAGATGATGCAAATATGACAGATTAACTCAGCTAACTGTATAAGAGCAGCATTGTTAAATAACTCAGAACTTAACAGAACGATGAGCGTGGCGTCGGTCTATGTTTTAATAAATTTCAAAGAAATAAGTTATTTCAATTTATTAAAATTATTTTTTAGAGTTTTACTGTCACCGTAGGCACTCGTAAAAGGTACAATATTTGGCTTATTGCCTTTTCATTCTGCTCACTGGTACCATTGGCACTTAAGCCACAACTCTCATTTTCAAGTTCCATTGCTTAGTCTAATGCAGTGGGTTCTCAACCTTTTGACTAACGCGTACCATTTAAACAAAACTGAAAAACTTAGTTGACACCACTTTTTACAATTTTATTTTTCAATTCAACATCAGAACTATAGCATACATTAATTGCCATTTGTACAACCTGTTGGCTTTATTAATGTTACCATAAAAATAAGAAATTAAAACTTGGTTACAATTTTATTACAAAAATTAAGTTATAACGAGTAATTCTAAATTTTAACGTAAAATTTGGGCTTGTTTAAGAAGATCATTTCTTTTCTAATCTTTTTCACTTACTAAAACCTAAATTAGGAACCAATTTTATTTTGTTCTGTATTTCATTTTCAAATTAAACGCGGAAGAAAATACTTGTTCACACAAATAGGTTGTGCAAAAGGGCAAAGAATATTTAACATCTTTTATTGAAACGCCATTAGTTTTTTTTTTTTTTTTTGGGGGGGGAGGTTCGCCAAAAGTTAACAAGTGCGTTATTTTTTAAATCTTCAGTTAGAATTCAATCACAGGTAAGTTGTATCAGTTTTTCTTACGAGATTTTTTTAACAGTTAAAAATACTTTGTTTCTTTGCGTACCACCTATTTTTCTCTTGGGTACCACCGGTTAAGAATCGCTGGTCTAATGAATTATCTTCCAACAATGACAACCGTAATACTCAGCGATGTCTAGGTTTGGATGATGATGATAATTCACTTCACATATCAGTATCTACTTCTCTTCCGAACATTTTCGGTCCTATGGGCAATAAATAACAAATACAAATTAAAATTTTTTATTCTAAAATCAGTCTCTACATTTCCGTAGCTTTTTTCTAACTAATTGTTTCTAGGAGGTCGTCTTTTTCTCATTCGTATACGTGTGCACTGGCTGCACCACTGTCCCAATCCGAAAGAAAAATAAAACAAGGTAGGTGAAATAAAGTAGTCCTCTCTTCATTCTCCTCAGTATTCGCTCGCTGCCCTCTAAACGGAAAGGACAGCAATATCGGAGTCGCACTGAATGTTCAAACACGGCCACTTGTACACGGTGGTTCAAACACGGCCGCTTGTACACGTTTCCCCGGTTTATAGAAGCTCTGGGGAAAACAGTAAATATTTCGTAAATGCACGTTGAAACTGGAAAAAACGAAAAAGCGGAATACGCTCCTTTCAACATAAAAAACTCAATGATCAGATGTTAAAAAACTGCGAAGCACAGTATTTTTTCCGTTTCTTTACTTGAAATACTATGACATTTATGACAATGCATATAAAATAGGAGTCTGAGCACATGGAATGCTTGCAGTACTCGAAGTTTGTCCTTCCAAGTAAATTCTTGGTAGAGTTAGGTTAGTTTACTTGAATATGAGAAAAATACAAGGGCTATCTGCTTAAAAAGAGAGATAATTTAATGGAAAACCTTTTAGGGGAAACTGGCTAGTACTCATGGGAAGCCCATGCAGCCAGCTCGGTCGCCTGGAACAGTGTCGAACAGCATTCAGCAATCTTAACCACTCGACCAACAGATTCAGCTATTCAAGAGAGTTCGCAAACGACAGAGGTTTCTTAACCATATTATTGCCCCCAGAGGGAATGCTTACAATACGTAGATTAATCTTTGTGCTTTGGAAACACTTCTCATTGGTAACGATGCCGTAGTGATATATCTTCCTTAGGTTCTGCGAGCGATCGTGTCATTGCGGAGGGAGTAATTACCATGTTTATGGTCTTTTTGCAGAGACGCACTCCAGGCTGTACTTTACGTTGTCGTTTGGGGGCTCCATCAAAAGGTCTAAACTTGCGCATCCAATCTAGTAGCGGTGATCGATGAGAACCCAAGGGTACTGGTCATTGAGAAAAGCAATCATCGCACTTCCTCCTTCCTTTACGAAGCCCGCAGAGGTCCCCTAGAGCTAAGTCACATTTCCCTATAAATCAACTCGCGCAGTACAAGAACACAACGAGATGGCACGATCGAAGAAAACGAAGCGAGAAAGGCAAGACTGCTCCGACAACGAAATAATGTCCGCTGAAGTTCCACAAACACAAAATACTTCAGTCGACAGAAGAAGACTATCGTTCTTCATTCGATGAAAACGTTTCTGCGGAGGAGGCACTTGAGTTCGTTAGTTAGTTAGAATCTGGGAGCAGCCCGCCTGCCTAGTGAATGTAAATTCAAGTTTTAGCCAAAATTGCGCTGCATCTGAGAAAGCATTAAAGAGGAAGAGGGGAATAAAGCAAAAAAAAAAAAAAAAAGAGAGAAAAACCACGTAAAACATATAATCGCTAGCACGAACATATTACACCTACCCCACACCCACTAAGGGTGCACTTCCATAGATAGATATTGCACTGAGGCGATACCACTTTTTCCCATGGCGCTGTTTTGGTGCCCTCTGCACTTGTTTTTGTCTGTCTGTACTTATGGTCAGCAGTGAGAATTGAACAGCAAGAGAGAAAGGGCAAAAAAAGTTCTTGCACTGATCACAGATTGGAGTAACAAATTTAAATTCAGCGTCAACAAAACAAAAATGATAGCGTTACATAAAAGGGAATAACTAAATAATCCACCGAGAATCAAATGACAAAGAAAATCCCTCAAGAACTTCGACACTTCAAGCACCTGGGCTTCCTACTCTACAAAAAGCTCACGTAAGTTCTGCATTTTTACAAAAATCCGAGATAAACGAGTAAGCTATAAACAATCTAAACAGGCTTGTAGACAATAAGAAGAATCTTAAAGGAAGACTACTTAAAGAGCTCTATCATACTTAGACTAACTGGTTACGCGTACCGTTTCATTAACCTAGGAAAAAATGCGGCCTGTTCCTCATCCTAAAAACCTCCACATTAGGCAGAAGGCAGGAAGTCGGACAATATGCCCCCTTGGAACGCATTAATGCTATCACTTACTGCCACCAGTACCACACTTAACGGCGACACGTTTTAGATTTCCCTACCCACCACTCGACCCGGGCCTCTTGGTTCTCGAGTCTCATGGCGGAGTACGGCCTTACTGGTCGTCAGCCCACCGGTACTACATGGGCTGCACTGTTCTAGGAAAATTAAGACGAAATTCGGTGGACAACGAACCAACCGCTGCAGTGCTACCGATACCTCTATCTAGTTTGGAGGCTTACTACCAATCTCCCCTTGGTCCAACCGTATAGAACGATCTTCCCTTGGGGTTCTGGAACCGCCATTCTCATGTTTTCATCCCCAGGAGGCGAGAATGCTAAGGTATAGATCCGAGCCAGTACAATAAACTACTGCCGGGGGAGGGGCTTATAGAGGGGTAAGTTAGCATTGTAAACTGCGTTCCGCCACACGTCCTATTCCACTTCTTTTTAGTCCTCCATATTAGGCGGGAGGCAGGCCCAAAAAGCCACCAATACTTGACATTAGTACTCTCCATGTACTGCAGCCAATCCCACACTTACCTGCGACAGATATTTAATTAATCACTTAATGTAAACTAATTCGAACGGTTCGCGGGATCATCACTCCCGGTTCTCGGTTTCATGGAGAAGCGTGGTGCAGTTTTTAAGCGTGATAATTTGACTGGCCGGTCAATAACTCCCCCCCACCAGTACTACGCAGGCAGTCCGGTATTGAAGGAATTACACAGAGTTCAGTGCACAACGAACCAGACGTTGCACCGCTATTGACACCTAAACAGAATTAAGCTGCGTTCATACTGGTCCGTTGGGGCGTCAAGCGTCAAAGCTTAAAAAACGCTTTCCGCATACGTCAGTTCACACCAGCGCGGGAACTTGCACTTTAAAAGTTGTCATATGCTCGTACTAGATGGCGCTTCATATCGGAAACTTTGGGAAAAACGTGAAATTTTTGTGTGGTATTTTGACTTTTTACGATTACATTTTTTAATTAAAATGGATTTTTTCCTGCTCGATTAAAACTTATTTACTTCTTGCTTTGTGTAAGAGAAACAGAATCGTGGTTTATATTAATATGAGAGATGACTGCAGTAAGGATGCAAAATTTAATAGAAGAAATCACTTGAACGAAACGAATTTCTTACTTCTTTCGCATGACACCTTAATCAATTCAATGAATTTCTAGCGCTCATTGAACTATTTATTCAAAAGCAGAACACTACTTTTTGTCAGAACAACCCAGAAAAGAATCGTTTGGACTATAGGAATAGGATATCCCAAAAAAGGATCATTTGTATATATCAAACGCTGTATATATCTACTTTATTTATGAATTTTTTGAATGATAATTAAAAAATCCTAATCGCATGATTCTATTTTGGAGAGTAAATTTTTCATGTGATAGAATACCATAAATGTTTTCGCATGATGTATGAACTTTCCTTAAATAAACTTCCCTTAACCCGATCCCACAGCCCGATCCTCCTAGCCGGCCATATAACCAAAAAGTGAGCAGGCTTTGTAATATCAAACAG